ATGCTTGACGAAATCGAGAATCGAATGCATTTCTTCAAGTTATATAATACCAAAGTAGAATAAAACTTGTTTGGTCTCGGCTGATCTATTAATCAGCCTTAATAATAGGAATTCATAACTGTAATTATAATTTTTCTGTTGAAATGTTTTCTGTTTTCAGAATGTTGAAATTTACTAATTTTCGACTTTACAAGTTTCATCTGGAATGGCTCAGTGTCATTCTGGTTGACTATTCATCTGTGAACTTAAAACTTTATCCTTATGAAGGTTATCATTTTACTCTAGTGAGCAATAACAACCATGAAGGCAATAAAAATTACAGCATGAAAAGGAAGATATTATTAGAAGATAATAAAAAGAACAGAGAAAATGTTTCTATCTATTCTTTGGCTCAGAACTTTGTCAAGGTTATCCAGTGTTACTTTTCATGTAACCTCTGATCTAAATTCAAAGGTCATTTTCTGATGTTACAGTTTCTTAGCAATGATTAGATGAATGATTTTAATCATGGCTCTTCTCTCTTATCCAGTGCATTTTCGTTCAAAAGCAACCTCTTTATCCAAATAAAATAAATCTTTTCAGATTCCCATTTAGAGCAATGAACTTTTTTGCAAAATTTAAATTTGCTCATGAATTTGACTAAAGATGTGAAATATCGAGAGAAGGAAAAAATAACTGAAAAAGAGTGAAAAAGTTGAAAGATTTTGGTTGCAACAGCGCACAAGTGAAAATGTTTATCAACTTGTTTATTAACTGAATTAGATGATGGATCAATAAAATTGGTAACCATGAGAAGAGAAGGAGAAGAAAAAGTAAAGGTTAATAATGATGCAAATAGGATCTGATGATCTGTTTCTTTTGATCCTTTTTTTCGCATTTGACGAAATTCTGTTGGAATTATTTCTCTCTCTATTTCTCTCTCAACTTGCTCGTTTCAATGTTAACTGATACCTTTCATTTCCATTTATTGGACTCAAAGGTAAAAGCAGAGAAAAGCTCAATAGAATTGAAATTATTGCTCAGAGTAAACCAGGCAAATAGCAGAATTGATACTAACTTTAAATTGTCGATTCATTTACATTCAATGTTATCTGATTCAAAATAGCAAAATAATATTTTACTCTTATCAAGTTATCAAAAAAAATGTGCAAAACTGAAGGAAATGAAAAAAGGTAAATAACTTGTCAACTCCCTTGATGACAATTATACAGCAAAAGAAACATTAAAACATTTTACGAATCGAATGCTAATTTTCAACTCGAATCGTCAACAATTTCAACATTGACATGAACCTGTTAAACCACACTTTATTGGCCTCAACATTTTCTGCATCGGTCTTGATATTTTCGTGTTTTCATGGAAATAGTTTTCAGGTTAAACGCTTCTGTTTAAACATGCAACGAATCATCGTTTACTGGAATCTTCATTTTTACGACTTTCTTCAGAGCAATTAATATAGTGTTTACACTTGCTTCACTTTGAATGTTAACCATTTTATCCTTTAAATAGCTTATTTATTCCAACATTTGGCCATCAAATTTCCATGCTGTTGCAAGTGAAAAATGTTTTTTATTGCTGATTGATAAATGTTTACATGAAACGAAACATTCTTTATTACCTAAAAAAACCTGAAAATGTTATATTTAGCTGAATTGAGCAAAGGCTTGGAATATTCAATGTTGCTTTTTGTTTTTTTTCAATCATTTCTTTACTTTTTTTCACTCGCCGTGTTGTTCAATGTAATCAGTTTGATGAGAAACAAAAAAAGTTCTCATTATAGCTCATGAGAAGAACATGAAATTATGTTGATAAATAGTGATCATGTTTTAATCATAACAAAGAATTGAATTACGCACGAATGAGCCTAAATAGAGAAACACAAAAAACACAGAAAATGTTGAAATGTAATTAAGTAATCAATAGATTCCAATTATCGTCATTAAAAGGAGAAATAAAACAAAAGTAAAAAGAATAATAAAAATCATTCGTTTCGATAAACCTTCAAAGTACAGTTCCAGAGGTGAAAAAGGTTTTGCATTACAAGAACTTTCAGAGTAAAATGGAAACGTGAGTGAGAAGAAAAAGATAACTTGAAGGTAAATTGTTGAACATTTCAAGTGAGAAATGAAGAGAATCCAGAAATGCGGAATTGACTCGACAGGAAAGAAAAGGGTAAAAAGATTATCAAAATTGAAATGTAATACTTTTCATTGTGATTATCATGAGTAAAGAATTAATTTTGACACTTTTGTATCAAAGAAAAGAAGACAATCCCTGTTTAAATGGGAAATAATATCAAGTGAAACATCAATTTTCTTTTCAAACTTTTCCATATTTATCGTTGAGAAGGAAAAGTTGACACTGATGTTCATTTTTACGCAAAAATTGATTTTCTTTTGTTAATCAGGGTTACATGTTTTGCATGAGAATTGCAACAATTTGAGAATTAAATTTCAATAAAGTGACAACAAAACTCGTCTAATTGTTGCATTAGACTTGAAACAGCTCAAGTCTCATCTCAATATTAAACTTTCATAAACTCTAATCTTCTTCTTGTTGCTTCAAATTTCATTTTCAAATTATGAAAATTACAATAACAAAAGTTTTCTCCTCTTTTGTCTTTTTTCATTAAATTTGGGCTTCTTTTTCTCCATCAAATCATGATAACAAATTGTGAATAAATGAGAAGAGAAATGATTTAATCGATAGATTAAAGTTATTCATCAGAATTTTCATCATGAAAGATGAGAGACTCAACAGCAACTTCAGATGAGAGTGATAATGATACATGATCGTGATATAAATCATTTTTAAATTGCCGATGAAAGATGATTTGATGAAGAGATGAAAAGTTCAATTAATGTAAAGAAAATATTTTGTAATATTTTCTGATAAGTTCATGATTAAAGTAAAAGGCAAGAAAATTGCATTGAAAGACTCAGATGAAATTAGCTTTTACTTATTTTACAAAGGCTTTTGAAAAGTTGACAAATCACATCAGAAGGAAAGTTCTGATAAACTTGGCTAATTTCAATTCTGAATTGACAGTTGACTAAACAATTGCTTGAATATTGTGACATTAAATTATCTTATTGAAGGTGATGAGAAGAGTTGGGATTGAATGAAGAAGAAAGTGTTTAAAGTTTGGAAGCTAATTAAAAGTCAAAGTCAATTGTAATTGTAATAATCAGATTGAACGTTATTCTGATGAATAAACTGAATGGTGCAAAAAGAGGGAAAGAAAAGTGCAAGTTAATGAGAAATTTTTCGAGAAAAGAAGGAAAAAAATAAACACAATTTGAAGGGAAAAAAAGAGGAGGAAAAAAGTTTAGTTCTGTTGTTGAAAAGAAATGGAGAAAAAAAGAGATTGGTTCAGTGAAAGAGATAATGAAGAATCTGTAAAAGTCGTTCTTTTTTACCATTTCATGGAAATTAATTGAACTCACAACTCAGCATCCGTCAGGTTGACAGTTGGACAGGAGAATAAGAGTCGAAGGAAAGTGAAGAAAAAAGGAGTTCTTTTCATGTATCGAGTGATTAAAGAGGGAAAAAAGTATCAAATTGTTAACAGTCATCATGTAAATTTAACCTTTTCTTGACTTTGGAGAAATTTTTTTGGCTCTTTTCAATTTCAATGTTAAACTGTCAAAATATATGAATTTTGGTGGTTTACCTTTTCAAGTTGAACTGTTTCCCTTTAGACGGTATAATCCACTTGACAGGGTTAATAAGCGAATCACAGGGTAACGATGCAAACGTAATACTATCTTTACTGAACAGAACGAAACTCGATAAATTCATTTTGGATAAGAATAAACAAACTTAAATGGAATCGAAAAGGTTGGTCAGTTTGACTGAAACCAAAAGCCGAATGAAACTCATTGCTCTCAATTTGATTCAAATTTTTAACCAATTTGCTTGCAAATGGAATAAAGTTGATTGTTTATTAAATCGAGAAATTGATTTCCTTATTTATCATAATTTAATTTGCTAATATCGAGATGAAAATTTTCTTTTCTTCCCTTTTTTTCCAAGAGAATGGAAAATGGAACAAAAGATTATTCATTTTGATTCAGAAGATTAACTGGATGCTAATTGAATCTGTAAATGGTGCATTTGAAAACGAGTACAACTACTTGTTAGTAAATGTTGCCCTTTTCATTATTAACCGTATTATGAGCTTCTAGTGTTGTCTACGTGATGGTTAAGATAAAATGTTGATAATGTTATGATCAACTTGCAATAATGATGGAAAGCAGGAAACTCTTAAGAGAGAAAAGAAAAGATATAAAAGATGAAAAGTGCAGACAGGGTGAAAACATGATCATGGTGAGAGATGAAAATGGAACAGCAATTTTTTTCTTGCTCTTCTTCTCTTTTCATGATGGAAAATATTGGATGAGGCGAATGTCAACTTATGAATTATCACTTTTAGGAAATCCTTTTCTTTCTTTAGGTTCTCTCTTTTATCTACTTCTTTCCAACTTTACCATTAAACTTGAATTGACAATGGACATTTGCTGGTTATTAATATTTTACGACATCAACTGGGAGTTTATTTGGGAAATGAGGAGAAAGCTTTTCAAGTAAATAAAATAATGCAATGTAAACAACAATCATCATAATGCACTTGAATATCGAGTTCAATTGTTGCAAATTTTCATTTGCAAACTCGTTTTATCAAAACAAGTTATCAAATGTCAATTTAAATTGTAAATGCCTTTTTGCCTGATCTTGAGCTAGGGAAACATGCGCTCAGTTTGGTTTAGTTTTAGGCAATAAATTGCATTTCGTTTCCCTTGGATTGAACATTTATCAATGTCCATTTTATGTGTTTTCAAAGTGCAAACTTTTTCGAAGTCAACTTGCAATTACTTTGGACAATTTAGATTAATGGTCGACTGTAATGGTTTTGCATTTGTCGTTTAAGCATCATCTTGATAGTGAGAAAAACTTGAAAACTTTTGTGTCTGACTTGGAGCTTCAATTGTTCAACTTACTTTAAAAATATTTGCTCAGGTCGTGATGATTGGACGATGAGATAAGGTCCGTCTGGCTTTGTGGGCAAAGAGATGTCTACTGAATGTGATCGCTGTGTTTTGGTTGGCGATGTTTCTTTGGGCCGAGAACCGAGATTCTCGGGAACTTTGAGGAATGAGGCGTCAATCGAAGCGGATCTATTTTGTTTGGTCAAGGGAACTTCCAAGGAGATTACAGTTATTCCGTTACCCAAGTCTTCTTCAAACTCTTGCAAGGGTGATGGTGCTTCTGGTGGTGGTGCAGCCGACAGTGTGACCATGGGTGATATATCGTCACCCGAAATGAGGCACTGAGCATCCGAGTCACTTGCTACACGAGCCGTTTTCACGTGAGTTACAATGTCTGAATCAGTGCCAGTTGCTTTTGAAATTAACTCGGAATCACTTTTAGTCTCTTCTTCATCCCTGGGGGAACTTGGTTCAGATGAAGAACCACATTTACTGAGAATATTTTTAGCGAGATTCTTGTCAAATGGACCGCTAAAAGTGGCATGATCATGTTCACCTTCATTCAAGTCATCACTTGTCGATCGTCTTCGTGGTCTAAATGACCGTCTAGTTGAACAAGTGGCAACAACTTCGTCATCTGTATCATCATCTTCAGTTGTTAATGAACCTGTTGATGAAACAAAAGTTTGCTGCAAGGCCTTCAGAGCAGCCTGTTCCTCGACCAGGGAACAATGGATGCATTTTTCACCGAAAAACAGAAAAGGTGAAGCCCGACCCGATGAGGGTGACGAAGATCTCCTTATAAACAGCTTCCACTTGGGAATCTCCAGAAAAGATATCGAAGAGCCACTTCTCAATTTACCACTCATTGCCTCCTTTCCCGAAGCCGAATCAAAAGACTTTGACCTTGCACTTTTGGCTGCCAAGGGTACATCAAGCATTTCACTGCCCGACGAGAGAACCTCGGGTTCAGTTGTAAGGGAAGAAGGGTCAGCTTCAGTGCTCAAGGTTGTAGAGCCAAGTTCATCGAGTCGAATAGAATCAATGTCACGACGAATACGAATCTCATCATAAGAAGCTGATCGAATCTGACGAACTCCAACAGGTAAGGACAAGTTGTTGCTGTTGGTGAAACTGTTTGCACCACAAGAGTCAATCTTGTCATTGGAGGTTGAAGCACACGAATCAGGCACCATAAGAGAGTGATAGCTTTCAGAAGTGGAATCGAGTGTCAACACGTTATTGAGATAATGTGAACTGGCACCCGAAGAGGTTGCAGGTGTTGCAATGTTGCCACTTGGAGATCTATCAACTCGAGGAGTCGAAACATTTTTACGGCGAAACTTGTCCCGAAGACGTTGCATATTAGTGAAGCAAAAAGATCAGTTACAGCGACGATTCAAGTTGAACAATTGAAGGTACTGATGATGATCAATTCACAGAGGCAAATGGAAAGGCTGACTTTGAAAATATTGTTCATCAACTAAACTATCAATCTGGAAAGTTAAACATTGTACTTTGAAAAGCGGAAAATGGCAAACAAAATTATCCTTCATTTGTTGCACAAAGCAAAGACACTGTTTATCAACATTATTATTAAATTAACACAATCATATTTTTACCGTTTTTCATTATTTGTTCATATGTCAACAGTTTAAGAATAGGTCTTTTATCAATAAAGTTGATTAAATTTTGGGTTAATTTTTGCTCTGTTTTTGTTCATCAACCAACTTGGAGTGATTGGTGGTGATAATGATAGTGATGAAACAAAAGAATGATAATATTTGATGAAAGATTGAGGATGAAAGTTGTATTTACTTGGGAGGAAAAAAAAAGGAAAACAAAAAACTGTGTGTTGATATGAAATGAGAGTAAAGGCGAAAAGAATTGAAATGCCTTTATCTCTTTTCACTGTTCAACGTTGAACACCAAACTCGATGCTTCAATGTATCAGGCTTTTCCTCTACTGAACAACAGAAGCAACATATTTTTTTCCCTGCTTCTTGAGGCTTTTATTTTCATGTTAGTCTCATATGAAATCTCACTCGGTTTCCCTCATTCCTCAATTCATTCATTCAGTTAGTCAGACATGATGAGGCTGAAACTGCATGATGATAATGACCCTGTGATTGTAACACTGACTAACATGCCATCTATGGAATAGCTGAACCATTACTTTATCGATTGAAAATTCAATTCAACTGTTTGATTCTATTTTTAGACGATTGCAACGCTACTCTACGAGTCAACTTGAATTGGTTGCTTTACCAGTTAAAAGGTGGCGATAGTTTGCTAAACCTTTACTGGTAACTAAGGTTATAATCAGATGTAAGCAGTTGTTTATGCAGAATGATGAATGATGTAGTTTACAATTTACATTTTAATCTAGATCAAACATGGACTCTCCAATACTCAGTGACTATTTTTACGACAACCAAGACTCACAAGCTGTTGACTTGAGAGGAACCATAAATCAGGAAGTAAATTTAAGTTGGAAATTTATTCGTTTTGAATTTATGGTCGGAACAGCCGGTTTGGTGTTATTATCAACCCTAACCTGAATATTTTCTCTCCATTTTTGGGTACGGTGAATATTGGCTACACCAACATTAACCTAAGACCATACTGAGCAGCTAACAATATCGTAACCGTATAATGAGTCAATTCTGACTTAGAGGCGTTCAGTCATAATCCTTGAACGGTGTTCAGTCATAATCCCTTGAACGATAGTGTTATAACATAACTTAATCAAGCGGGCTCATGTACCATTTCTTCGACTCGTATCGAGCAGAATTTCAGTTGTAAGAGAAGTCAACAGGATGAAATTAATCACGAAGATTTTGGTTCTAAAGAAAATTTCAATGCTTGGTTCATTTCCAATTGTAAATAAATAAACTTAGCATTTCGTTTTGAAAATCGAAATCGCCGTATTTTACTGAATACTTGATATTTCAATATCTGTTATTCATACATTTAAAATTTGCAATTTTAGCTGGTAAAAGTTATGATCAAGATTAAGGCATAAAGATTCAAACTTACAAAACTTGCTTGAAATTTTTTCCCTTTACTTCAAATGCTCGAACTGTCTTTAATCAAACCTAATATACTCCAGAATGATTTATCTGGACAACATTGATTAGTCTAGACCAGTTGGTAAAACTTGAAAATTGAAATCAAACTCAACGATGCGTAATGCATTTCACACACATTAGCCTTAAGGAAAAAAAGGCAGAAAGTTGAGAATAAATTGAAAGCAACAAACTGGAAGCCATTTTAATACTTTAAATGGTCAAATGAATGAACAAGAGACTGACCAAAGAAAAAGAATGCAACTGTCTGAGTAATTTTTGATATTCCATTTATCACAACTATAATAACTCGGTGTACTTCTTTGTCTGTTGAATGTTTTCCTTTGTCATTACAAGAGTTAAATTTAAGCTGGCTTCTCATGTTTTCACCTCTCAATAGCAGTTTCATTTGTCACTCCAACAATGCAGCCAACAAGTACACAATCAGTTTATAAGCTTATTTATCAGTTTATTAATGCGAAGGGAAAGGCGAAGACGAACAAAAATATTCTGGTTAATATTGTCAAGATATATTGTTATGGCCCTTATACCATTGAATTTTCATTCCCTTATTACAAATGGAAGAAGAAGAGAAAAGAAGAGCAAAAGCTTATCGATTGGCCTCGATTACTCCTTTCAATATGATTTTTATTTCTCTTCTTCTTCTTCAGTCTCCCAACCTTTTGGTTACCTGTTTCCATTTTTTCTCAACATCTTTTCCTCTTCTTCTTCTCTCACTTTCTGTCCACCCTCAAAATAGAAACATGAAGCATAAAAAATGAGAATAAAAGCAACCAGAACCAGAAGCAACTCGGCCATCAACAAAGGCAACAAAATCAAACAGAATCCAGGTGAACAAAATAGACTGAATAACATGTCAATCATTATTGTATCATTGGCAGTGCAAAGAGAAACTCAATTTGTAATAGTTTTACCTGAAGGAATTGCATTTACCAGCAACATTTTAAGACAATCAGTTGGCCAAAATGTAAAGTTTAATCGAACAATTTTTTCTTCTTTTTCCCCTGTTATTTCTTCTTTCACCAAACAGTTTACTCAAAGCGTTTCGAAAAGTGAAAACAATCAAATCAACAGATAATCAACTAGATTAATACTTGAAAATGCAAAGTGAAACTCTGAGCAAATGAAAGCGTAAAAATGTTGAGCAAAAAAAGGAAAAACTGAAAGCACTCAATTTTTCTATCAACATTATTCTTTCAATTGTTGACTTCAATTTGCTTCTTCTTCTTCTTTTCATTGATAATGCATGTGTTTCATCATGATAACCTGATGACAAATTCAATTTATGCTGATTTTGCAGTAAAACACAATCACAAATTGAAAAGGAGAGAAAAGATTGAAACGAAATTATGAGCCAAAAAGAAGGTAAAAAGGTAAAATATCTGAAATCATCATTTTGTCTGACTTTCAATTTGATTATCATCAAGTTCACTTTCATCAACTTTTTTACACAAGCTTCAAGCAACCATTTCAATTATCTGAATCAAATTGAATCACTTTTTTTGCCGATGCCTTTTGCCAACCAGCAAAAGCAACAGTTTGCCAAATTGAATTTATTTTTCCAGCAAAACAAAGAGCAAAAAAGTCTTTTCCAACCCTAAATGATCAAAATAAATTGATAAGCTTTGAAAATGTAAATTCAATTTTCTTCCCTTCTTTGTATCTGAATAAGTGTCAATACTTTTCACTCCCTTTTAACGAATAAGAAAAGGATCGACAAAAAAAACTCTTTGCCTTTACTCAACAAGTAAAAGTATTTGTGGTTGCTTTGCTTCAAGGGCAACACACGAGATTCTTGTTCATTTTTGGGTTACAGGGAAGGTGAGAGAAAAGAAGTTCTGCTAACGAATAGCTTCAGGTGTTACAAGTGAAAGAGAGAAAAGGCGAAAAATTGATTTTCCATCAAATTTAACCATCAAAATGTTTCCTCATTTTCACTGTTCATTGATCAATCAATAGTAATTAATCAAAGTTGCTATAATCATGCAAGCAAAATGTTTTCTTGCTGAACATCATTAAGATTACTTTTTCCCCGGTTTTTCTCTTTTCACATTTACTTTTTTTCCCTTCTCTCAACAGAGTCAGAATAGCCGACAATAGTTGTGATTGATTATCATTCATTGATTGAGTACAATTGGGAGTGAAAAAGTGATAAAAGTCTGAATAACAAGGATAACAACAAATTTGATCATTTTTATAGTAAAAAGTAGCAACAAAAGCTACTAATAGTTGAGATCGAAAACTTTTTTTCACTCTTTTCACATCAGATTTTTATTCAACAAATGATTCATTGAATGTTGATTTTCCAATAAATGAATAAATTGATTCGAGAATGAAAAGTTTAACCTTTTCAAATTGTCCTTTTGCAAGCAAGGCTGAGAAGAAGAGAGCAAAGTTCTAATAAATACTTTTGAAATGCTGTTAAATTTATCACATTTTTCGCTAATTTGTTTCTCCATTTGAAATTTGCAACTTTGGCAGAGAGAAAAAGAATTCAGAATTTCCCTGAATCGAGGGAATCATAATCAATCCATCAGAAGTTATCTTTGACAATGGCTTTGAATCTTACTGTTTCCTCCATTATATTCATCTTCTGTCTTCTTTATTCTGGTTCATCATTAAACCCAAACAATAATATTAATTCAATAAGGATAACACTTATCGAATCGATTCTGCCGATTATTCTCGATAAACATAATACATTGAATGTCCAGAAGTCCTTTTTTGTTTTCAAGAGCTCTACTTACATCAACTTGAGGAGAAAAAACTCGATGAATGAAAAGATGAAGAATAAAAGAATTATCATTGAATTTCTTTCGTCAGGCAATTTTCAAAAGAAAATAAATGATATTTACTTTTTTCATTTCAACATCATCTTCAACTGGGAATCCCCTGCAAAAAGAAAGACTAACAATTCCATTTCAATCATTTCATCATCAATACAAACCTAATTCAATCTCTCCTTTAATCACTTTGACTGTCCATCAAACCATTAAAGACAAACGAGAAAAACAGAAAACTCGAAAAAAAAGAAAATCTTTGAAAATTCAAGTTCGTCCGAAAAGAATTCAAAACTTGCATGGAAATGATTATTTGCAATATTCATCAGCTATTCATTAGCCTGACAACAAGATGCAAAAAGTATTTGCAAGAGAATTTCTTTTCGAATGAAAAGCTTCATCAGATTAGCCATTTTCCCTGTTTCATTACTTTTTAAACCATTTACCTGAATGTAGCTCAAGTTGAGAAAAGGAATGAAAAAATAATCATTTGGTGAAAATTCATTTTTCTGCATTTCCTTTCCTTCCTCAGTCCATCAATTCAACTTTTGCGTTTACACAATTGACATGAAAATTTGTACAATCGATTCAGACGCTTGTTCAAAAGCCTAATCTGACCATACTTAGTAAGCAGAAAATGAAACAATAAAATTATCATTATTTTCGTTCAACGAATGAGAGAAAAAAACTCAGAATAATCAGTCTTTCAGGGTTGCCCATTAGACAGAAGCAAGTAAATCATCATTATAAGCATTTATTTTTTTCTGCTCTTCTTTTTTTCTCTTTAGATTATTCTGTAGAAATATTTCTCTTTTTCTGTTGAACTATCAAAGATCTTGTTTTTCCTCATTTCTTATTCTTCTTTTGCTTCATTACTACTCATTTTTACTCTGTTTTTTACCCTTTAATACTATCGATTATAAGCCAGGGTAAAAAAGTGTTGTTACTCAACAAGATGAACCAGGGAAGAAGCAGAGAATTGTAAAGTGAATAATAAATTATTTGAAAGAAAAACACAGAACCATGAGAACTATTTTTTTATTCTTGTGTTCACCTTCCAAGTAATAATGATGATAAAAATTGCAAATGACAAATGAAAAACTTGTTACTATTA